TTTTCCACTTCCTGATTGGCAAAAAAAGTCCCTTTCTTGAACTTCTCTAGCCCAAAAAAACTGGGAGATTCAGAGTCGCGGCCACCGTGAGCTTTCGAACCATCGGGTCTCGATGTGAGTCCCCCCAAATAAATATATACATATATGTATTTATATTTACATATATATATATGCTACCCCCCCCTTGAAATACTCAGGCTTTTGGGCAGAACTGAGGTTTTCGGCCAGACTGGGGGTGACAAATGCCTTGAGACTCTGAAATGAACTGGACACTCAACCCCATGCAAATTCTAACCAAGCAGAAGTTAAGCTCAACGTTGATTAGGAGTTGCGACAACGTGTGACCGTCACATTGGCGTGCGCGAAGTGCACTTAAAGTCACATTGGAGTATGCAAAGTGCAATTTGGCAGCTCCAGCTCAAAAAACACAACTGTTCAGTACAGGAGTAGTACGCGAAGTATGTTTTGGCAGCTGCAACGCGCCTGTAGCAGCCCTATTATTCGGTGTTTATGGTTTTTGTTTGGCAGAGAAATTCAGGAAAACATCAACTCGGGGCAAAGGAACTCATTCCTAAGTCATATCCTTGCGCAGTTGCATTCACATGTTAACTCGAGTGTTGTGCATAATTCCTGACATACTAGTTCAGTCTATTTGAAACATATGTTGCAAAGCAACTATCCCACGTGTGTGTGTGTGTGTTGCTTGTCTAAGTTGGTTCCATCATCGCCAATAACAACTATTGAAATTCAAGTAAGGGAAGAATATCCAGTTAAAAAAGCTTTCGAGTTCAAACCAAATTCAAGTTTACTTTACTCGTTTGCAGTTTCTTGTGCATTTCAAACATCAACTGGAGAAGATAGCTATTGTCATGGCCAAATGAATTTGGAATCAAACTCGATTTTGAAAGGGTTAGTGTCCTTATCGAACTCCATGTGGTTTGAACCAAGCAAGAACTGAGCCAAGCCAATTACAGGAACGTATTTTCAATCATAGATCTTATTATTTGCGTACATGCTGTAAAACGCAGAGTGTTTTTCAGCATTTGCTCAGATCGTGTTGCCCTGGATCGAACATCGAATATACAAGATTCCACAAACATATGTTTAGAATATACTCAACCCTGATCCCCAAACAACTTGACAGGTTGTTCTAGACTCATTAAGGTTTCGCCCCCTGCATTGAAGATTGAAGATCTACCATGTTTTCTATTTGATATTCTTCCATCCTGGCCAGCCCTCAAGTCCACAAAAAAACTGTAAAGGTGTCAGCAACATTTTTCCCCCTGGCGAATTGCAGGCAGTGCAAGTGCACATCCACATTTTGATTCTGACAACGTGCGCTCCCGGTCTGCCTTTTGGATTCTTCAAATCCGCACTTAAGGCAATCCAGGATCTGGATGGGAGATTGAAGATTGTCTGACAACTCTTTCTGAAATTCTCCAAATATGTACTTAGAGTAATCCAGGATGTGCTAGTACATCCTGGATTGAAGACTGAAGATTGAAGATTCTCAGACCACTTGTTCTGGAAGTCTTCAATCCATCCTGAGGACAAACTGGTATGTGCTAGCACGTGCTAGCACATCCTGGATTGAAGATTGAAGAATCCCAGATAGAGTTGTCAGAGAATCTTCAATCTTCAATCTTCAATCCAGGATGTGCTACAGTAGCAAGTGCTAGCACATATCAGTTAGTCCTAAGGACGGATTGAAGATATCCAGAACAAGTGGTCTGAGAATCTTCAATCTTCAATCGTCAATCCAGGATGTGCTAGCACGTGCTAGCACATCTTGGATTACACTAAGTACCGATGCTAGAATTTGAGTCTAAAAAGGAGTGCATTTTTAGAGCCTCATTTTAGAAGCTGGAACGTGTGTTTTGCATGCATCTTTACAGCCAAAATGTCAATTTATGGCCAACAAACTGAGTATTCCAGGGGGGGTACCACACATATATATATATATATATGAGTTTGCTCTTGGCCTCCTTGAAAACCACCAAACAAGGGGTACCAGTGTATCCATTTCGGAGTTCGGAGGCCTGCATGGCGTCGAGGATGTGCGATAGCTCCACCTGTCACCGCAAGGCAACTCACACACACACACACACACACGGAGACCTGTGGGTGACCCACGGATCTGCTAACTACCCCCTACCACTCCCAAAAGCACAAGTGGTAGGGCAAGGTTCTGACAGAAGGCTTGGGTTGGGGTCATGCTGAATAAACCAATGAGAGGGAATTGAAGCCGACCTCACCTGAACCCAAGAACTGGCTACAAGTCCAATCACCCGGTTGCGCTTTATTGAGTGGGGGCGAGTCCTAGAAAACGACTGGGCGATTCAGGAGGCAAAACAAGGAACCCGACGAACCAAGCTCTAACGAAGGCAGCTCTAACGAAGGAATAAGACACAAAGAATTCGGGCCCTCACAAAAACATCAAAGAGGTGTTCAGAATCCTTCAAAGAACCCCCAGTTGGGAAAAAGTGTATTTTTCAGCGGACACCAAATCCTGGGTGCCTCTTCCTGGGGCCTTTGGTTCGACATCGGCCGCGAAATCGGCCGCGGAGTCGGAGCCTTGCTGATGAAGCCCCGGTGCTTCTGGTCCAGCGCGCGGAAGATCTCGTTGGCGCGATCAGGCGCGAACCAGACGTTGTCGTGGAACCAGTTCTGTTACAGAGACGAGGTTCCTGGGCCTTTATTTGGCTGTGGCTCGAAAAATGTGGTACCAAATGGCACCTTGGTAAATGGAACCAAGAACTAACAACCCGCGTAACCCCAGCTCTTTGATTTGGAGCCACAGCCTTATTTCCCTGGCAAGTTCCATGTTAGTCAGGAGGAAACCCATGAAACGCTTGGCTGAGTTCAAAAGGACACCCCAAACAACAAAAGCAAACTTCCCAATCGGGTCTTCAAAATTCACAGGGAGCTCGAAAGCTATTCGGCGCAGGTGGTGCGTGTCGTTGGAGTGACAACCGTCCCTGATTGACGATGTTGACCTCTTCGAAACGATGTCACTCGTTGCCCTCCTTTCAGAACCAAGCACAGTGGGTCGTGGGCATCAGGCTTTCGAGAAGGCAACGTGTGCGCTTTTCTTGCCTCTAGTCACCCCCGATTTGGGCTTCGGGGTCCTTATCACTTAAGATGGTTATAGAACATACCTTGCATCTCCGAACTTACGGATTGGGCAATTGACTCATGACTTCCGTGATCATTGATCATGCTTAGCTCTTTTTCAGAAGCCACACGCAGGAGAGTTTCGCATGGGAAACTGTTATATAATATAATATAGCTATATTGGGCAGAGCACCCACATGACCTCCTTTGCTTCCTAAGTCATGTCGGGAGCAACCACTGCAATCAATCCTGCAAAGTTTCCTTCCGAGGGAAATTACAAGCATGTCCGAGTCGCTTCAAATATGTCTCGGGCCAAACGCGTGATGAACTCAAGAGAAGCACAGCTTAGGAGGGAAAAGTCAAGCACCCTTGGGCTCTCTCTGTCATTGATTGCTTCATCAAATGCCAGCGACTTGGCCGGACCTCGATCACCGGCCAGTATTTTTTTTATTTATTTATTTTTTTTTTTAAAAAAAAAAAAAAAAAAAAAAAAAAAAAAAAAAAAAAAAAAAAAAAAAAAAAAAAAAAAAAAAAAAAACGGTCGCTGGTTTAACAAAAAAAACACAACAACATGGTTTCGCCAAAGGCCCAAGGGCCTTTCAAAAGGTTGTAAGTCTAGCAACCTCAGGCTCTCGGTGTGGCTCGAAGTGAGAAAACAAACTGCGGTTCCGCGTCGAGCAGCAGCGCAAACGCGATTTGCTGTAAGCAATCGCGCACACCATCGGCGACCGATCCGAAAAGAACATGCAAGGTCTAACCCCTGATTAGCGACTTCACGCAGCTCCCACTGGCGACAGCGTCTGCGTGTTTTTTGCAACGTGCAAAGCCGGTGGGACGAGATCCGCACAAGATTTGTCTGCTAGCCCTCGAAAACGATATCCACATGTCTCAGCAGTTTCGGATGGAAATAAACGCAACCCAAGCCTTTGCTGGTGGTTCATGTGCTGGTGTCAATGGTCTGGCCTGAGAACTTACAAACCGTTTTGCCTTTCAAAGCACGCCCGTTTGTGTTACAGTACATTCCAATACAAGGACGCATCGTGCAGTTTCAATAGCAGGACCACACAGGGAAAACTTGCATAACCCCAGGCACCCGTTTTTCCAGCGCAGCATAGCTGTACATGCGCGCTTGTCTTTCCGCGACGCATCCGCTGTGCATCACAGATGCCGAAGGCGGAGAAGAGCCTATGGCCTGTGTAAGGAAACTCGTCGTGTAAGGAACTTCGTCATATCTAATCATGTCATGCTCGCCTCTGATCCCAGTCATGAAATCCTTGACCATTCTCGATTGATAATGTACTTCCAATATGATTTCATCGACTGTTCACATGTTCTGTAAGTTATGTTCTGACAAGAATTTGAATCCATGAGCAGAAGGCATGTTTTGACGCAGCCAGCGCCAACATGAAGAACTCCTGACTAGAACCAAACCAGGAGCATGCTGAGTTCCCCATTTGAAAATGCCTCTTAGGCTCCATGTTTCGCGCCAAGGCTACGGTCAAACCCTCTTCACAGGCCATAGACCATCAAAACGCCCGTCTGTTGTGATCGCCTTTCAAGGCGGAGGAGCTCCATGACTTGAGGACAAGACATGCTCACGAAATGCCTCGAGAAGGGAAACCAACACAGCGGACAGAAAGATGTCAAAGCAGCTTGTGTTTGTTTAGACCTCGACAATGGCCAGCCTTGCAACTTTTGCCAGTTTGGTAACTACAAGCTTTGACTGCACAGTCTGGATAACCACTGATGTGTTCATCGGTCAGGCAAGCCTGGGCTCTGTTCATGGCGCAATATGCCCCAAGTTTCTATGAAAGACCCCTTGTAGCTGTTTCAAAAGCACCCGATACAAATGGGCGATTTGTTGGTTTCACAGCGCCTAGTTTGACAAATGGGTCACACGCTCCTCTACGCCACAAAGCAGTCCCTGACGCTCACTTTGCGGCATCGGAGTTTAGGCCCGCAGCATGCTTCCTGAGCGCGTGAAGTCTTTCGGGGTCACCCCGGTCCCCCAAGATCCGACACTCGAGTTCCTGAGGAATGTTTGCGGGGTTCCACTATTCAAGTTGCAGTTTTAACAAAGCTGCCGGTAGGAGTTCGCCGGAGCCCTGTTACATACAAAGACGGCTTAAGATAGGTCACTTCAATGTCCTGGCCATTTGTATCTACGCCAAAGTAGGACATCGAGAGGCCGGGCGCAAAGGCAACCAAATCTCCCCGAAATGGATGCAAAAAGCGTCCCTTTTTGCCCCCAACAAAGGACACCGCAAGGGACAAGGGCCCTTGGGGCTCCTAACTTCCTGTCTCCAATCTGAGGGTTTTTGTATTACACCCTGGGATTACACCAAAGAGTGGTTCAAGATAACACGGTTTATCAGGAAATGTGCCTAAACGGGGTCAATACCCAGTGGGTGTATTCCCAGGGTGTAATACAAAAACCCTGGGATCCAAGCATCTGCGCCATTGCCAGGAAGGTCTGCAGCTGCCCCCGCACACCGGGGCACAGCTCGTCCAGCTCCGGCTGTGTGAACTGCAGGGCCAATGTCTGCCTCAGGCGAGAAGTTGACCTTGTGGGCTCACTGAACCCTAAGAAGCCAAGAAGCTAAGGAACTGGATGGCTGGAAACCGCCAAAATGGAGCCGCTGCGAGACTTGGGTCTACATTGGAACTCCCTTGAAGCATCTTCGTGGTAACGCAAGGGGCGGTTAGCTCCAGAATCCATCTACAGACTGCTCTTGAAAGTTCAAAAACAGTTCCCAACGATTCCCATGTGTTTTCAGCCGGACCATCCTACCCCGCCGCCCCAACCCACTGCGTTCAGCGGCAAATCCTCCAACGCTCGCTGCACTTGCAAGGTGTAGTCAGGATAGCCCGCGTCGCAGGGCGCGTCTCGAAGCTTCAAATACCTCGGACAGTTTGCTCTATGACCTTAGGGCTTCTGAGGGTCGGGTTGAGGGTGGCGAAGGATGGTGGTAGAAGTAAGTGGGCTTAGGGTGCGCCAAGGGTGCGAAGCTTGGTTGAATGAAATTTTGGAGGTTGCGTGTTGCCGAATAGGCGCATTTGCGCACATGTTCAATAATTCCGAAACTGGAAATAAAGCAGCCCCATTCCTCAAAGGCCTGCGAAGGCCTGTATCATGGCTCGTTGTCATAACTTGCCCAGAACTTGCTAGGGTGAAAGCATTGGCACAATTAGTCCCCCCAGTTCTTGGGTCAGAATGATAACTAAACCAAAATGGGTTGTTGAAGGTTAGTGGGGATGACAAAACCAACATGGGGGGGGGCCGCCCATCGGTTTCGACAGATCCATCGCCTAGCCGTCGTTACTTGGGCCTGGCGGCTCTCTGCAGGTCTCCACGTACCGCTGCAAGGCCAAGCCCTTTCGCAAGGCCTGGAGCCAGAAGGTTCCGAAAAGAACACCAACTTTTTTTTGGAGGTGAGAACGGGTGGCTTCCAAAATCGTCATACGGGTCCGCCATTTCTTGGAGTTGGCGCCCCTCTTTGGTTGGTCTTAACGGCAAGCCAAAAGGATCGTTTCTTCTTCTTTTTTTGGATTGGCAACTTGGACTTGAAATCTCAGGTCTGAAGGGAAATCAAGCCCTTGAGGGCTTGTGATTATATCCTTGACGCTTCGTACTCTTCACCCTGAGATAATCAATGCTGGTGGGCTAAAACCATAGGCATGCCCTAAACTCAAAGCGGCTTGGGATCATAAGTTTTTAGGGTTTGTACACTTCACCTTGAGATGACAAACAAAACAATTCCGGGTTTTGGGGGAAAACCCATAGCACGCCCTAAGACTCAAAGCCTGCCCTAAACCAAATCCTTCAAAACAATCAGCAAAGAACCTTGCGGGCAGTATGTTGCGTGGGTAAAATTCCAGAGCGTAGTGCTGGCACAAAGGCGTACTTAAAGAACGTGCATGTTGTTTAAAACATTTGCTTTTGGACGTCGCAAACCCCACCACCCGGTTATTGATGGACAACTGCTTCATCGGGGTTCCCCATAATCACATTGAGCATCACCCCACAGCCCCGCCAAAGGACAACTCAATCGGCCAAAAGGTGATGTTGAAGCCAGCGAATCCTGACCCTCAGAGACAATCTCAAACCTCCCCGCGGCAGCGCACCTCTGGCGCCTCGCTTTCCGACTCGTCAAAGGACAGGTCCTGAGATAACACCACCTGCTCACCCGGGCTGGCCTCAGGTGGCTTGCGCAATACAGGGGTCCGTGCCTCTCAACTGCCAAGGAAATGTGCGGATCTTGAAAAGGTACAATGAAGTCAAGTGGTCTGGTTTCTGCCCTAAAAGCTGGCAGTTCTCCCTTTGCTTACTCCTTCAACCACAGGGAAAGGGCGCCAACTCCAAAACAAAATGCACACACACACAAACGCGCGCACACACACGCACGCACGCACGCACGCACGCACGCACGCACGCACGCACCCGCACACATTCACACACACACACACACACTCACACTCACACTCACACTCACACTCACACACACACACACCAGCACACACGCACACCAGCACACACGCACACACGCACGCACGCACGCACGCACGCACGCACGCACGCACACACACACACTCACACACATGCACACACTCGCACACATGCACACACGCACACACGCACACAGGCACCCACGCACCCACGCACGCACGCACGCACGCACACACTCACACACTTGCACACATGCACACATGCACACACGCACACACGCACCCACGCACCCACGCACGAACGCACAAACACAAACACAAACAAAAACACAAACACACAAAAACACAAACACAAACACAAAAACACAAAAACACAAAAACACAAAAACATAAAAACACAAACACACACACACACACACACACAAAGACACACACACACACAAAGACACACACACACACACAAAGACACACACACACAAAGACACACACACACACAAAGACACACACACACACACAAAGACACACACACACACACACAAAGACACACACACACACAAAGACACACACACACAAAGACACACACACACACGCAAAGACACACACACACAAAGACACACACACACAAAGACACACACACACACACAAAGACACACACACACAAAGACACACACACACACAAAGACACACACACACACACACACACCCGGCCTCATAGCGCACGGTTAGCCGCACCTCACCCGCGGTTCCACTCGAAGGCCTCAAACCCTTCAGCCGCAACAGCACGAGGCCGCCCTCCACGGCGCCGCGGGCGTCCACGGCGGAGGGGAAGATGCCTAAGGTGAGAGGTGCTCCAAAGTAGGCGCTCCAAAAACTAGGGTCAGAAGAACGAGGAGTTCGTCTAGGCAGGGTGGCCTTTGGGTTAAAAATGGATGGGTTTGAAATTTAAACTAGCTTAAAGAAGGACACCTATGTTCCAAAGTTGTAGGTCACACTCCGAAAGGATCAAAATTGGAGGAGCAGTTTGTCACCCAACAGCCAAACTCAGGGCTGTATGTTTGGTTCCAAAGTAGTTGCACTCTAAAAGGGTCAAAGATTTGGAGTTGCGGTCGAGTTGTTTTGAGTCGGCGCCAATCGCTTCGATCTCCAAGGCCCGGGGCCCGGGGCCCGCCGGGGCGCTGTCCACTTTCAGCACGCTGCGCACGTTGCAGGACAGGAAGCCGAGGATGGACTGCAGCGCTGGCATGGGCAAGCCCCCACGCAGGCGCCTCGATTCTTCCCCCCTACGTTAAAGGTTCTCAAAGTGGTCTGGTTGCTTCTTGCTTTGCTTTTGGTCTCCTTTTGAGTACCAACCAAAAAGGGGGAGTCCACCAATTTGAGAAACGCTCATGTTTGCTATGATCTTCTTTGCCCCCCTATGGTTTCACCTTCTAGTGAAACCCACTTGTTTGGAAATTGAAGGGAGCCAGCTTTGAAGGGGCCCTCCCTGTCGAGTGGCTTCCACTCCTTGTCCCTGGCTGCCTTCTCCAATCAGAACACCCATGGCTGGCCAAAGGGGCGCAACCCATTTCAGCGATGGGAGTCAATTTCGTTTACCGATTGGGCGATGACTTGGACGGCTTTTGATGCCGCCAGGAATTGCAAGGCAAGCAAGTGCAGTTGCAAAGTGAGGTTTGACCAATGTTGACCCCAAATGAATAAACCCCAGGTGAGTAATAGGTGGTGTCAGCCTTTGCTCCCACCCACATACGAAGAAAGGGGGTGATTAATCTGGGGTCAACAAGCTTCTGGTAGCAAGTGGATGGCGCATGGCCCATTTGTCAGGAACCATGTGCCTCAGCGTGTCAATGGCCGGTGACTCCGCGCCTCCTCAGGCACAGCAGCAGCGTCCTTGCCGCAGCCTGGCAGAATTCCAGGCGTCCAAGGGATAAGCAAAACGCCGGCAAGAACAACAAGGAGCCCGGAAGCGAACATTGAAAATAACAAATGGGTTGCTTGTTCCATGAAGGCCTCCAAAGATCGACCCCAAAAAAAGAAGGCTGGTTGCCTCCTGATTTCCCAGTCTTGTCCAAAAGGGATCCCCGGCTTGCGGTAGCAAACCATGCGGGCAACCTTGGAACGTCAGGAGGCGATTCCGTATGTTCCTTTTCTCAGTCCACAATGGTCTGCGCTGGTCATTTTGAACTGCCGCGCAGCATTGGACTGCCACGGTTTTGCGGGGAAAACCTGCCATGGTTGGTCAGAGAAAACTGCACCTGTCATTTGTTCTCGACATTGGCGCGTTGGTAAATATAGAAGAGGTAGCTAAAAAAAAAAAAAAAAAAAAAAAAAAAAAAAAAACAGATGTACGTGTTGGCGGGTGGAAAACAATATTGCTAAGCGGCAGCTTGAATCACTGGGCAAATCTGTGGGCGTAGCTCTTTTTGCAAGAGCGCTCCCTTTC